ATAGACAATGGAGAGAGCGCTCGGAGACACGCGGAGGAGAGACGGCTCCTCGGAGAGGGAGGGGCGGGCCGGGAGGCGGGGAGAGAGGAAGAAGGGAGGGAGCCCGAGGGCGAGGCCCCGCGCCCCGTGTCCCTTTCCCGCACGGGCTCCTCGGTCTCCAAGCCCCGTCTAGCGAGCCCCGGAGCCGTTGCAGCCTCCGCCCTCCTTCTTCCTCTCTCGCCGACCCCGGCAACGCCAACCTCCTTCGGGATCGAAAGATTCTATTTCAAGGTGCTAAGTTGATGGGCCGTCTTTGCTCTCACCCCGAGATTTCGGGCGCCTGTCTAGAAAGACTGAGAGAGAAAGGATCACCCAATCGCAGAAGGCGAGGCTAGAAGGAGACGCACTCGCCCGCCCTTTAGGCAAAGGCGGGAAGCCCGCATACAGTCGCGCAACCTCGGGGACTAGAGAGGGGACTCCCTCTCGGGGGGCTGCGGAGGAAGACTGCTAAGGCAAGCTAGACTCCCGTGGTGGGGCTGGAAGTAGAGAGAAACTGACGGAGACGGGTGGCGAGCCTGGGAAGCCCTGGGAGCTCTGCGGGAGAGGTTCCCTAGCCGGGGCGGGGCGCTGGAGAGCTTCCCCAGTGCGGAGAGCGCAGTGGAGAACTTAGCCAGGAACTGCTGGACAGCTCCGGGACCTCGCGCGCCCCCTGCCAAACACAGCGCCCAGACCCGGGCTCTGGTTCTCCAGGACAGCAGGAGGCAAGGCCAACAGAGTCAGCGTGCCTGCCCATCCCGAAAAGAAGAGATAAAAGATGATGATAGATAGATTGATAGATAGATAGATAGATAGATAGATAGATAGATGATCGATAGATAATGACACACACGGGCGATGGGGTCGAGGGGCGGAGAAACGAGCAGAAGACGACTACAGAGCCTGGGCAAGAGAGAAGAGCCACCCCATCGTTGACCACACTCATGCAGGCTCTACCCACCCTTCACCATATGCACTGAAACCATAGCAGTGAGGTCATTTGAGATCTAATTCTCAGCAGGCAAAAGTATACTTGAGGTTAACAGCATATAGTATTCTATAGCCCTTAAATTTTGAGGTAAATTTTGAATAATGACATTGAAGTCCCATACTGAAAAAGTAAGTTTCAAAAGCGATTAAATTGTTAATCTGTACAAAGATCAACTGAGTTTCTTAACTTTCCATCCAAACAAGTAGATTCTGAATTCTCCAAAAGGATCCTACACAGCTAGTTACCAAAATACCTACTGGGTAGAGTCTGAGGCTCCAGTAGAGCAATATGTACTATATTATACTATAATGGGATGAGGGTAACATATTTAGCTCTGTCCTTGGAATGTTTAAGGGAAAAAAATCAGAATCTGGAAGCTTTTCCAAATTAAGTTTTAATGATCTCTCCTTGTCAGTTTTTCCATTTGATTCTATCTGTAATTTTGTAAACTTTGAGAAATATTCCAGTACATATATGTGATGAAATATTGTTTTATGTAACTTTGTAAATTTGCAAAACTACACAAAATGAAATTAATGTAATTGAATTGAATTAATTCAAAGGAAATTATTCACCATGAAATTAAAAATCTTTCTATAGCAGTACAACCAAAATAATGAATTGTAATAAGTATCTACAAAAGTTACATTAAAAATTGAAACATAAAATGAGAGGGAAAAGTAAATATACATATGCACACATATTTACATATAGAAGTTCTCCTAACCTACTTGCACTCAACCAAATCATAGAATCAGGGGTACTTGCCAATCTCTGACTCTCACCTAGGACATGCTCAAAGCTGGGGGTTAGTAAACTTGTCACACGAGCTTATGCTCCCTCCAGAAGAGTGGTATTTTGTATCCAGAATTAATCCAGTTGAACCTGCTATGGTAAATATGTGACCTAATTAAATTTATGGAAACCATTAAAATATGAGTACAGAGAAGAGCTGTTTCCATAAAATGGAAATGCAAAGCTTTAGAAAATCATAATAAAGGTGAATCATTGTATTATTTAGGGCAGAGGTTCTCAACCTTAGAGCTATTGACATTTTAAGGTTGGATAGCTCTTTGTTAGGATTGTCCTGTGCCTTGTAGGATGATTAAAAGCATCCCTGGTCTTTATCCACTAAATGCTAGTATTTTTAATATTCCATTTTATCTATATGTCTTATATCATTTGGTGTAGCTTTTTTCTTTTTTTTGCGGTAAGCGGGCCTCTCACTGCCTCCGGACGCGCAGGCTCAGCGGCCATGGCTCATGGGCCCAGCCGCTCCACGGCATGTGGGACTCTCCCGGACCGGGGCACGAACCCGCATTCCCTGCATCGGCAGGCGGACTCTCAACCACTGTGCCACCAGGGAAGCTCCATTTTGTGTAGCTTTTTAAATTGCTGTTGTAGGGAATACTATATACATACTTTTCACCATCTACTCTAAAGTCCATGTGTTACTTCTTGAATTGGAACGTAGAAATTTTACCACCATATTGGTCCCTTTATCCTCACCCTGTTAAGTTGTGATTGTCTCATGTATTAAACACATCCTTTATACAATGTTAAAATTTTTGCTTTCAATCATTGTGATAGGCATAATAATGCTCTCTCCCCCAACACACACACACACACACACACACACACACACATAAAGGAATACAAGCTTGCCAATACCTTGATTTTAGCCCAGTGAAATCTGTTTTAGACTTCTGAACTACAGAACTGTAAGATAATAAATTTCTGTTGTTTTAATACTAAATTTGTGGTAATTCGTTTCAGCATTCACAGAAAACTAATATAAATACTAACCACGTAAAGTTCAGTCAAAATGGTAGACTCTACTGACCCTGAAAGAATCCTCTTCTATTCATAAATACATCACAAAGCTAAATAAAATTTTCAAGATTTTTTTATTCATAGATGAACTTTAAATAAAAAATGAAAGAAAAATATTTCCAGATGCTAGGGGAAAACAGAGATAGCTGAAAATTGGCAGAAAAAAGAGTAACTCATGCAATGATTGGGAGAGGGTAGGACACAGGGTTTCGGACACAGTAGGGGCCTTAAGACAATGGGGTAGGATTTTACCATCCACACAAGAACTGGAAACAATAAATTATGGCCAAAGCCAGAAGATGTGAAGATGTTACTGATCCCTCCAATAAAAATAGAGAGATATGAATGATTATATTACACATATATTTTGCACAAATTGGCCCAAGAATTGACAAGAATGCTTGCCAGCTGCGCATGACCATAGGTGGAAAACAAAGTCACCTGTAATAAATGTCAAATCTCAAGCCTTGGCACTTATAAGCACATGGTCCAAAATTACATCTGCACTGGTATAAGAAGTTATAAAATCAGAAATTAGAATAAACCCCTAGAGTCTCCTGAAGAAGCAAATGTAAAAATTCCATTAAGGGAGCTTCCACAACTTCTAGCATATAAGAGAAAAAATTCTGATGAAGATATAATCACAATTAAATAATAACAATAATATCAATAGCAATAATAAATTGCATTGAAGTAAAATACCATGAAAATGAGTCAGGAGACAAACATACAAAAAAAAAAAGAGAATTAGAAGCTCATGAACTCAGAATATCAGAGAAACATGATCAAAAAGTATTTAAAAATATATTTTAAATGATTGGAGTTTTTTAAGGAATAGAAAAAAATAATGAAGGAACAGAAGTGTATGAGGAAATATTAGGCAGATTTCAAAGGAAACCAAATAGAACTTCTAGACACAAAAGCATATTTTTAAAAAAAATTTTTTAAACACTGGCTAGAAAAAGCAGCAGATAGGTAGGAATGTGAATTGGTACAGCCACTATGGAGAACAGTATGGAGGTTCCTTAAAAAACTACAAATAGAACTACCATATGACTCAGCAATCCCACTACTGGGCATATACCCTGAGAAAACCATAATTCAAAAAGAGTCATGTACGAAAATGTTCATTGCAGCTCTATTTACAATAGCCCAGAGATAGAAACAACCTAAGTGTCCATCATTGGATGAATGGATAAAGAAGATGTGGCACATATATATAATGGAATATTACTCAGCAATAAAAAGAAACAAAATTGAGCTATTTGTAATGAAGTGGATGGACCTAGAGTCTGTCATACAGAGTGAAGTAAGTCAGAAAGAGAAAGACAAATACCGTATGCTAACACATATATATGGAATTTAAGAAAAAAAAAATGTCATGAAGAACCTAGGGGTAAGACAGGAATAAAGACACAGACCTACTAGATAATGGACTTGAGGATATGGGGAGGGAGAAGGGTAAGCTGTGACAAAGCGAGAGAGTGGCATGGACACACATACACTACCAAATGTAAAATAGATAGCAAGTGGGAAGCAGCCGCATAGCACAGGGAGATCAGCTCAGTATTTTGTGACCACCTAGAGGGGTGGGATAGGGAGGGTGGGAGGGAGGGAGACGCAAGAGGGAAGAGATATGGGAACATATGTATATGTATAACTGATTCACTTTGTTATAAAGCAGAAACTAACACACCATTGTAAAGCAATTATACTCCAATAAAGATGTTAAAAAAAAAAAGAAAAAAGAAAAAGCAGCAGATAAAATAGAGCTGAAAATTAGAGAACAAAAAAACCT